CAAAATCAAAGAAAACAACAGCATGATCATCTCAAATCACTTGACAAAATAAAAACTACCAGAATATAAGAGAATTTACCGATAAACATATGAAAAATATACTATACAGCTAATATAATACTTGATAATAAAATATTGAATGTAGTTTTCCTAAGATCAGGAACAATGCAAGGATGATTATTCTACATTGTACTAGGATTCCTAACTAGTCCAATAAGACAAGGAAACATTGGAAAGGAAGAAATTAAACTTCATTTACAGATGTCATTATTGCCCATGTAGAAAATTTTAAGAAAGCTACAAAACAAAACAAAACAAAAAACTAATAAGGAAAGTAGCAAGGTGTTTTAGGTACAAGCTTAAATATATAAAAAGTTAATTTGTGTTTTTGTATTCTAGCAACCAGCAGTTGGGAAATGAAATTTTAAAAAAATTATATACAGTGACATTTTGCATGTCATCTAAAATACCTAGGAATAAATTTAACTAAAGATGCACAAGACACTAAAAACTATAAAACAATGCTGAGACAAATTAAAGAAAACCTAAAAAAATGGGAAGATATATCATGTTCAGTGATCAAAAGATGCAAGATTGTTAAGAAACCAGTTATCTCTAAATTGATTTATAGATTCAAGGCAAACCAGTCAAAATCTCATCAGACTTTTTTTGTAGAAATACACATATTGAAATGCAAAGGGCCTAAGATCTTGAAACAGTCTTGAAAAAGAAGAGCAAAGTTGGAGGACATTCATTACCTGATATTAAGACTCATTATATAGTAATTAGTAAATAAGGTAGTGTGGTATCGGGGTGAGGAGAAACAGTTAGATCAGTGGAATAGAATAGAGTTCAGAAATAGAATACCATATATACAGTCAATTGATTTTCAACAAAGGTGCCAGGACAGTACAGTGGGGAAAGGTCAACTCAGATTTATCATGCTGGAGTCTTATATTACTTTTTCAATTTTATATACTAGTCGTTAAGGGCAGAGAGACTATGTCCCATTTAACTCCTGTGAATTAGCCAAGGCAAGCGCATAGTGAGTGGGCACAGGTCTGTTGGGTTAAATTGAATCAGAAACCAGAACCATACTCAAGAAGTTATGTAGATATTGGGATCTGATAAGTATTTTTTTTTTTCTGATAAGTATTTTTAATAAAAGGAAGGCTTAGGTAATAGATTCAGAAACACATAAGCTTCTAGGAGCAATTTTTTAAATACATGGACAAGGATTAAATTAAAATGTATATAATTTTTATTGAAATCTGGGCAGATTGGGTGTTTCCAGAGAGAACTTTTCTTTCCAAGATGTAGCTACTTTGGTTCAAGTATTTGATGACTGTAGGATAAAGACACAACCAGAGACTCACATCAAATTAGGCTCCCTGTAATTGGAAAGGCCCCAGGCAAGCACAGTACCAAAGTAATGCTGATTCAATCATTCATGCATCCATTCAGTATTCATAATGTACTCACAAGGCACCAAGCATGTAATGATGAACAAGATAATACATCACTGTTTCTACTTTTCTCATGTAGAAATTGCAGAGGATATTTTAAGTTTGCACTAAAATCAATACTCTCTTAGTCTAGAGAGACCAACAATCTTGTGCTTCTTTTGGCATATATTAGTGCTTTTCAATAGAAATGTAATGTGAGCTATAGATGTAATTTAAAATTTTCTAGTAGACACATTAAAAAAGTAAAAAGAAGCTGGTGAATCAAATTGAGTAATATATCTTATCTAACAACATACCCAAAATCATTTTGACATGTGATCAATATTTTTTTAATTATCAAAGGAATATATATATATTTTTTTTTTTAAAGAAGATGTTGGGGGTAGGAGTTTATTAATTAATTTATTTATTTTTGCTGTGTTGGGTTTTCGTTTCTGTGCGAGGGCTTTCTCTAGTTGTGGCAAGCGGGGGCCACTCTTCATCGCGGTGCGCGGGCCTCTCACTATCGCGGCCTCTCGTTGCGGAGCACAGGCTCCAGATGCGCAGGCTCAGTAATTGTGGCTCATGGGCCTAGTTGCTCCGTGGCATGTGGGATCCTCCCAGACCAGGGCTCGAACCCGTGTCCCCTGCATTAGCAGGCAGATTCTCAACCACTGCGCCAGCAGGGAAGCCCCAAAGGAATATTTTTAACTCTTCTTTTTTTGTATTGAGTCCTCAAATTTCAGTGTGTAATTTACACTTACAGCCAACTTGATTCAGACAAGCCATATTTCGAGTGTTCAATAGCCACATGTGGCTAATGGCTACCTTAATGGACAGTGATATGAAACAACTCCAAGTCAACTATAGTCTATTGGAGTTTACAAGTGGATTCCAGAAAGGTAGAAAACTGATGGTACTTCTAGCCCATAATGTTAGAGGAAAATCACTGTATCCAGGAAAGAACTCTTGTTATTCTGTTGCTAGAAATATCTGGATTTGTGGTCAGGATGAACCTACTTCTATTATGGTTCTATAACTCTCCACCAGTTTTCATCTGAAAGAGTCCTAGAGTTTTACTTATTTGGAGACAGATCTGTACAGCCAGTGTGCAAATATATCCAAGTAGTCTTTGAGAATTCAGATCTTTCCAGCATTCAATGACCTCACTAATGAGACAGCTTTTCAGGACCTAAAAAGATACGACTACTCAAATTTCCCAATAAATAGTTCTTGGATGGATGATGAGCCAATAGCCCACATATCAGTTCTGTGATACACAAACAAAAATTTTCAGCTCTAGGTTAATGAGCCCAAGCTCATTTGCATGCTTGTCCTCCATTTAAAATGCTTTTGCATTCAACAGAATAATATTTTCCTCTGTTCTAAGGTCTTTATTTCCACTAGGCTATAATAGAAATCCCCTTATTTTCAAGAATAACAGTAATTTACTATACTATGTACAATGAGCTGTATTTTAGATTCTCAATTTATAAAATTTCATCAGGCCTGAATCTCAGCTATGATTTAGAGAGGGAGTGAGGTGGAACCAGCCTATACTTAATTACTTTTAACAAAACATTTATAGATTCATCAACAAATTAGTTTTTCGAGACTTCCCTGATGGTCCAGTGGTTAAGACTGCACACTTCCACTGCAGGGGGCCGCGGCTTCAATCCCTGGTCAGGGAACTAAGATCCCACATGCCATGGGGCACAGCCCCTCCCCCCGCCAAAAAATTAGTTTTTCATCTTTCACAGTAGAGTTTCTTCTGGTGGGTGGTACTACCTAGGTACCACCCATCTCCACCCCGACAGAAATACCTAGGAAGTTGAATCCTGGATCTACTTCTGAATCGAAATCTCTGGAGGTGGTGCTGGGGAATTTGCATTTGCAGTAAGTACTAGGGGAAAAACTCATGCACACTAAAGTTTGACAACTACTGCTCTACAGGGAAGTTCCAAACTTTATTATAACTAAAGATAAAATTGTATACTACCATTTAAATCTGTTTTATTACTGGAGGAAATGATGTTTTCAGTACTTATTTACTTTGTTCACCACCTGGGCTGAACATTTCATTGGATGCTGTAATTTCCCTTTAAGTAACTTTTAAAGGGCACTCAGTATTCAGCCCATAAAAACGTATCCTGTGCCTTTTTAATATATAGGTAGTAAATGATGGATTCAACTAAAGTCAAATTTACCCATCAAAAATGGGCAAATGTCTAAAATCAAATTGACGAGGACCAGATCGTATTCTTTTGTACGTTCCAAGTGTAGTCTCTGTAACGTTTGTGACAGTGTCAGGAAAGGTATTCTTTGTTTCTTGTTTTTTTCCTATGAAATCATTTTAAGAGTACTTTAATTCAGTCACAATTCTACAGATAGCCATCGACCTAGACACAAGTACCGGAGCTTCAAAAACGAATATGATTTTAGCACCTGCCTTCAAGTGCGTCATAGCCTCTGCAAGGAAGGGACAGACATGGAAACCTTGTGTTAGAGTATAATGCACTAAGTTTTTACAAGGCACCACGGAGTAGAGAGAAGTGAGGCAGGGTGACTATTTGAAAGGGGGCTGGGTGTCACAGAGAGGATGTTGTGCTCTGTTTGGGTATAAGCTGCAGTTGGCCAGAGAAGTGCAGTCATTCCTACAGGGTCATCCAGACATCGGGAAGATCAGAATGTGCCAAACCTGCTCTCTTTCCACTACACCCAGCTTTCTCTAAGAACCTGACCTGCAAAAGCATGCCGGCTTCCCCTTTTCTCACACCCAAAGCGCTCTCTGGTTGTGAGTAAGATGTTAATGGTGATACATTTCCTTTTCAGGCCACTAAGGTGCCATTTAATTCACTCCAGCAATAAGTAAATAGGGACCTACCTTTAAAAGACGCTGAAAGCAATGCACTGCTTAATTTACTGCCACATCTGTTAAAGCTCCAGAGAGAATCTGACTCCCTAGATTTTAAATATAGTTGAGTTACTGTGATGATGTTTCCTGATTTAATCCTTCTATAAATTAGATGAAATGATCATAGAACCTGTTGTCACTACATTCTTGCCCTATCTCCAGTCACTCTTCTGCCTTCATTAATTCTGAATAAAATACCACAAGACATTGATGGAGCACTTGGAGGTGGGAGGGCTATGTTTTTGTAGCCTCAATACGAAATCGTACTTAAAGACGCCTAAGCCTTTACTGAATGGGGGAAAACAAACTGTTCACCTCATGTAAGGCTCCTAATGGCCTTCCTGGGTGGTTATGGGTGAGGAAACTAAGGCTCAGAATAAGTGGCTCGCCTGGGGTCACTCTGCAAGTAATTACTGGAGCCAAAACACCCACCCAGGTCTTGTAACTCCAAGTACAAGGTTCTTTCCAGTATACCCTTTCATCTCCCGGGGCATCTATTAAAACAGTTTCTTGACTGTTTGCAGTGAAAGGCACTATTGCCAACATGTAAACAAAAACAAAAATCGCGGCATCCCCCGTCACTTTATCATCAGTGTTTTTAGTTTATCACTTCACAGTCATTATTTGGTGTTTTCTTACAGAAGGCAACAGACCACTGCAACAGAAACTATCCTTAGATGGGAACCCCAAACCTATACATGGAACACCAGAGGGGTCAGATGGCCTACACTGGTCAGCTGAGCAGCCTTGTAACCCAAGCAAGCCTAAGGCAAAAACTTCTCCTGTTAAGTCCAATGCCCCTGCAGCTCATCTTGAAATAAAGCCAGATGAGTTGGCAAAGAAAAGAGGTAAAGTGATTTCTTTTGCACAAATGATTCAACATATTTTGTACACACAGAGGAGTACCCGAATGACAGAACTTTCCAAAAGATGCTGCTTAGTGAAGAGAGATACACATGAAATTGCATTTCTTTCTGTGAGCCACATAGGTTGAAAGCCAGATGTGATTCCTTCATTGTTAATTAAAGGTCTGGAATGTTTAAGTGGAATTATATCGCCTTTTTCTGCCCCTCTGTGGCCGTTCTTCTCTTTGTAGGCATGGATAAATTTGCACCACAAACACTTTCTCCCCTTACATCCTATAAAGCAAATGTTGATGCAGGAGCTCTTTTAGCAATGTGAAGGCTGAATGTTTCCCCAATATGTGAGCTTGTAAGTGCTGAACTTGCACTGAATCAAGATGAGTTTAGAGGCTGCTGTGTCTTCTTCTGATATGACCTTCCTCACGTAAATTCAGTTCTGTGTTAGGACTTGCAGACGATATACACTGAAAGAGAGTTTTATATTTGACACATTATATTTTTATCACTTTTTGAGCTCTGATATACTTTACACATAACTGGTATTAAAAATGAAAGGGGCTAAATCACTTCCTTTCTGATTGCCAGAAGATTAAATAATACTCTTCTCATTCAGCCTCAGTTGCATCTGATTTCCTTGGCTTGGGTTTGATTATACCTTCTCACTTTTCTTGAGAGAGATTTCTTTCTTCTAAGAAACATGCCCTTGTCGGGATAAGTACAATTTGCCTGTTTGCTCTGCACTGTCTGTAAACCCTAGTGACAGTTTCAGGAAATCAGGCAAGATTGGCACCCACAGAGCTGCTTTAAGTGCTGCTGCTATAATTACAGGCCTGGCTCAGGACTGATGGGGCCAGAGCCAGCGTACCTGGCAGCGATGCTCTGTCCTCTCTCTAGCCCATTTGTACCTCTCCCAACCTCTCTGTCATTTTCCTCTTCCAAAAGCCCTGCTGGCTTTAAACTACGCAGAGTGGTGTCTATCGAGAGAGCCAGCAGCACAAATGGTCTTTAGACGTATCAGATTCTAAGAAACTACAGTTTGCAATAGAACATAATGATCAGAGCCTCTTTCCAAAGGGCAGAGGAGACACACGTGCCCCAAATGGCCCATCCAGAGAGCCCACTGGTGAGATCCCAGCTGTCCCAGGGGCCACACAACCACCCAGTCTGGGTTGTAAACATCCTCTTAAAGGAACTTTTTTTTTCCATTGAAAAACAAAAGACAAATCTCTCTCTTTTTATTGGAAGGGGGTGAGTTAGTTGCTTTTGTTGTTGCTGTTTAGCTCCAAAATAAAAAAAGAAAGTGCTCACTTTAACATGCTTTCTCTCGACATTAATTTTAGGCCCAAATATTGAGAAATCGGTGAAGGATTTGCAACGCTGCACCGTGTCTCTAACTAGATATCGCGTCATGATCAAGGAGGAAGTGGATAGTTCAGTGAAGAAGATCAAAGCTGCCTTTGCTGAGTTACACAACTGGTGAGTAATTTGACTTAGAAACTATAAATTTATGGCACTTCAGCTATTCCTATAGGTAAAGACATCAGATGGAAAATGTTTATTTAATCCATAAACATCACAGAACAACACTTCAGCAGATTTTCTTAAGCCCTGCAGACAGATGCCTATATCTTGGGAATAAAAAAGAAGAGAAAATGTTGGAATAAAGAGAAACCTGATAGACATAATTCATTGGAGTTTGAAGCTGGCCCAAAAGTATGTGAATGATGTAGAACACAACCTCAACAAAGAACAAAACATCAAAAATGATATTTTTGACAAATCTTTGGAAGGTTAACATCATGAATGCTACTCAGAAGAAAATACTTTCCAGCCTGATATCATCATAAAATAAGAAAAACTCCCTTAACAAAACTGAGAAACGTCTTACGTAAGCTTAGTGATAGAACCCCATTCTTGGGTATCTTTAAGACTGGAATTAAGAAACGGTACACCAGTGTGGTTTGGGTCCTGCCCTGTCCTGCTCTGCAACAGATTTTGATGGAAGACATTTCTTTCAGCCCTGTGCTTTTGCTCATGTCCACAACTAGAATGAAATACCTCTTAGTAAAAAGGTTAAGTTATTATCAGCAGAAAAATGTTACCAGTGTATCCATCAGGACGCTTTCACTTTCAAGTGACAGAAACTCAAATCACACTAGTTAATGAGAAAAGAGGACTTATTGACTGATGTACATGAAAATTGCAGGAGATTCCTTTAGGCAAATTTGGTTCTAAGCCCAATATGTTATCAGGATTCAATTTTTCTGTCTCTGCCTCCTTTCCTCTTTCAGTGTCTCCCACAGTCTCCTGGTTCTGCTTATTCTTGGCTTCATTCTTAGGTACTGTCTCCATGTAGCAGCCAAGATGACACGCTGGCAGCTCCAAGCTTACATAATCTTTAGCCCCTGTGATCTGAGAGAGGCCTTCATTTCCAGTAGTTCCAACAAAAAGTCCAAAAGGCCTAATTCCCATTGGCTGGGTTGGGTCATGTATCTGTCAATAAACCAGTCCCAGTGGCTAGAGGGACAGAGTTTTCCCACTAGCCAGGCCGGAGTCATGTGCCTACCACAGAGTTAGTGGTGGGGGGGAGCCCCACCTGAACTCCATGAACTGAGACTTGAAGAGCCATGGTTCCCAGGAGGAAACATGGTGTTAAAGATGAAAATATAGAACAAAGAAAATACATGTGTCCACAATGCCCAGGCTCACATAACATGTTCCCTATATTGGCGTCCTGTGATTCTAGAATTTGATCACATCTTCCACATATTCTTCCCATTCTAAGTCCTTTCCTTGACACTGATGTGCTTTTTTGCTAATTGTAGAGTTGCATAAAACTAAGGATTACGCCGAGCGCTAACCTAATCTAAAATTCTTGAACTTTAAACCATCTGCTACATATAATGTGAGATTCCAAGAGTGCATAGACACCAGGGACTTGAAAGAAAGCCTGTCCTTCAGTTATTCAGTGAGGAATCATTTGCCCTCCACCCCGTCACACCATCTCAACCTTCGTGGAACACTTCTCTGTTTGATCAGATTATAACCTCACTAATTGTTCAAAGCAAACTCCGAGAATACGTTTGAAAGCACTCGGAGAAGGTAAAGATGCTATACAGATAAAAGGTTTTATTATCATCATCATCATCATCGGTTTTCATATTTTACAGTTATATGACTTTTACAATTTATCCTTAAGCTACCCTAATCTATAAAAGCACACTCGACGTCCAGGCCTGTTCTCGAGAGCCAGAGTCAGCCCACTTCACCTTAAAGGGCCAGCTAGTGAAAATCTTGAGCTTTACGGGTGGTGAGGGCTGAGTGCACCTACTCAGGCCTGCTGTGGTGGCGTGGAAGCAGCCAGAGGCCACGCGGAGAGGCCGTGGGCCGTCTCTGGCTCGTGGGGGTCGTAGTTTGCCAGCCTCTGTCTGGAGGCATTAGTGAGCTGCTCGCAGAAGACCACTCTGTCTTGTCCTTTTGTGTGGCGTTTTAGAATAAACTCTTCCTCTGAGGCCTCTGTATGATACCTTCCAACTGAGTGACTCACGCACTAATTGACAAAGTGTAGCAATGACCTCAAATTACCTCTCTCCTCCAGCTGCTCTGAAGACTTTTATTTTTTATTGTATTTTATTTCCTTAGTAAAATGAACATCACATGGCTCACGAGACATCTTGACATTTAGAACAGATTCTTTGAGTGCTTTACTCCTCAAGAGCTGGAAGTGTGAGGCCAGGAAGGTCAGCACCCGGGGAAGTTGTGTATCTTGTCTCTGCTTGTAATTCGTTTTGTGGTTTAAACTGATGGGAAGGATCACTTCTGACTGAGCCCTGCCAAGCAATACGGCTGTTTAAAAGTCACCTACCTGACAGAATGGAACTTCTCCTCCAAACTGAAGAAGAAAAAATTTAGATCAACTATTTTCTATTGCTGCAAAATGAGAAAACACCACCACTTGTTTTCTGACCTAACCCTTCATTAAAATGATCCCAAAATAATTACATAAATGCTAACTTAAAAATAAAACTATTTTTTATCAGCCATTTACATGCATTTATGCCAGAGGGAAAAACTTTGCCTCTGTTCCAATTAAGCCTGCAGTCCAGGCAACAGCGTGATGTGCTTGAATTAAGCCCCTCTCTGATTTCCTGAGGAGCAAAGGATGGACTTTAGGGATTGTGCTGCTCTTGAGAAATAGGGGTCACGGAATCGAAGGAGGCAGCTTAAATGCTTAAAAAATGAAGCTTTCCTAGTGGTGGTGAAATCACAAACTCTAGGCACTAGAGAGAATTTTGAATACAGCCCTATTCATTTAACAGAATGGAAACCTCGGGGTAACATCGTAAAGTATATCCAGATTTGGAGGATGTGGAGTCCTCTGGAGATTTCCAGAAAGAGTGCTGGTTCTGAGGCAGATGTTGACTCATCTGGTGCACAGGCGACAGGGAGGTGGCATACATCCCCCTGCAGGTTCTGCCCCCTTTCCTCGGGCCACTCCATTCTCTCACCTAAGCACTCAATAGGCGGTGCGTGTAGTTTAGAAATATAGACACCCTTGGTAAAAAAATTCTCCACATTCACTTTGCTACCAAAGCACCAACTTCAGGAGGTGAATCCTGCGTGACTAAATTCCCCCCAGATCCCACTGGAATTCACGGGAATGATGATTGTGTGAGGTTGGGAGAAAGCCCTTGTTTGCATATGCTCGGTACTGAGTGAGCGGATATCTGAGTGAAATGAAGGAAATTCTTGTCCTTCCCAATCTGGCTGTGAAGAATATTTTGCTCAATATGTTACTGAAGAAAACCATTAAGTAGCTAAATTATAATATCAGAGTTGGCACTTAACCAAGACACAGTTACACAGGGCCAAATGACCATTACATGACTCCTTCTCATTTTTCCAGAAAGAACTGGGGATTTAAGAAGGGAACAAAGATGACACAATGCCCTCACAGTATGTCTTCACAGAAAATAAATTTTGCAACATGAGTGTCTATGTGAAAAGTCAACATCAGGAACTAACATGAAACAGCTGGTTTCTTTCCTATATGATTGGCCCCTACCACAACTGGAAAATATTCATCCTTTCGAATCATAGCTGCCAGGTTTAATTGCTTTGTGTGCAAACTAGTCTAGCTTCTCACCACAAATCTGTGTGTGTGCATGGCCAAGTTGATGTTGACGGCTTTAAATGAGCAATAAAACATTAAATTCAAAAAACATTGAGGAAGGAGAGTAATACTTGATAGTTTTTCCATATGCTGGCGGAGAAAGGATTCCAGAATAGAGCTGTAAAAATTGTTAGGTGCTATTGTCAATTTAACATCTAATTAAAAGCACTCCTAAAGAAAACAGAAGATGGTAACAAGCCAGAGGGTTACGGTGTGTGCTGGGGTAATGGGGGCTGGAGGGGATAATATTTTTAGGCTGCTTTGCTTTCAAAAAGGAAAGGGACATCGGTCAAAGCATGCCTTCTGTAAAAAAGGGGCCAAAAGTCTTCCCGGACCCGGTCGGTGTTTATTTTCTCTTGAAGCAGTGCCACGAAATTGGAAGTGGGTCAGGAGTCTCCCAGCTCCCCGACCCGAAGCCCTCCCCCACCTCCCCTTTCTCTGCCGACTCACCCTCCATCTTGGAGTTTCCTCCCTTCCAGCAAAGGCAGGTGAGCCTCCTACTGCCCCCTACAGGCTAGGGGCTCCTCACCATGACCCCACTCACTACTCCATAGGACCTTGTAGCAGACTCCCTGTATCCTTTTCCTTTCCTTCCTTTTAACGACTGAAACTCATTTTCGTGTAACTGGTAACCTCATCCTTTTGATGACCATGTGTCATCCGTCCCAAAGTGACAGATTTGCATGTTAACCAAAGTTGACAGTCTGTTGAGACTCTCCACCAGCCAAAAGAATTACTCTAAAAGTGAGAACTGCAGGCTGAAGAAATAGCAATTTTGAGATAAGTATATCTTCTTCTGCATCCCTCAAATCCCACTCCAGAGGAGGGCTCTTTATCTGCTACTAAAGCCCTGTTGGTATCCAAGCAGAATCACACACAGACCACCAGATATCATTGCTGTGACATTTTAAATATTGTGTCTTTTTCTGGAATATCAACTCGAGAAGGCCTCCTGGAGAAGAAATTGCCAGTGGGGTTCTTGCATTTCAGAGCAAGGCAAGCAGCAGTCTGTCCCATATTCCCACTTTACTGCTCCTCGGGTACCCAAATAATATCAAATTCTAGGAGCATGCAGCCTTCGAACTACTTCAGTTTGAGTCCAAATAAGAGCATTTTTCTTCACTTTTGCAGATTTATCACATAGCAGGATTCTTTCTTTGTTGGTTGTTTCCTCCCTCCCCCCAAAATTCCCTAAACTTTTAGCTGCTTTTTTTTTTAATACCTGGCTTTCCATACAATGCTAAAAGCCTGGTTTTTCTGTGCTCTTTGGGTTTTTTGTTTGTTCTCTTTATGAGTAACTGAA